GCAATCATCTCCCCAGGCTGATTATATCAAGAAGTCCCCTTCCTGACAAATCAGCCATGGTGAGATTTGAACCTTGTTCTCATGGTCAGAAAGTGAATGTTCTAACCTCTTAGTCATGTGCCCATGGTATATTATTATAAAGTGTAATAATTTGGATATTCTATCATTATATCTTTCTTGCCCTGTACTAAAAATGTTCTTTAGTTTTGTTATTATTTGAAAATAATTCCTAACAATCTGGTTTCTAGTGGAATTTGTATGAAGTTTTATATATTTGTTTTTACAAAGCCATCAATCCTTTAACTTTAAATAAGGTAGTTATGTTATCCCAGTACATCTGGAGGCATCTTGTCTAGCCACTAAACTTATTTTATGGCAAAATATTAGTAAAATAAAACAATTTGGTAATAAATTGAAAAGATATTGAAATTCTCAATATCAGTTTTTGACTAGTCCTTCTTTTATCTTAATTTCAGTTGCTTTTCATTGAAACTCCTTGGACCATCACTCTATGGCTGTTAATAAATAGGAACAAAGAATAGTTGTTTAATGATGGTCTGAATAATTGTGAGAAAAAGCAACTGAAATTAGGATGAAAGAAATACTAATAGTTCAAATCGCATTTGGGGAGTTATCTCCCTTGATGACAAATAACAGCATGAACCATCGCAATGAAAAGCAATTGAAATTAAGACGAAAGAAATACTAATAGTTCAAATCGCATTTGAGGAGTCATCTCCCTTGAAGAAAAATGACAGCATGAAAATAGTATTGAAACATTAAAACATGATAAATGAACTTTCTAATTGGTTAATGATTTCTTTATAAAAATTAAAAAGAAAATATTATTTGGAAAATAAGTTAGAAATTGATTCTTATTTCAGAAATAAAAGCCAAATTAATTCTTAAAGTAAAGAGACCCATTGTATAAAAGTTGTCATGCCAAATCAGTTGAAAATATTAAACCAATATTAAAATAATAGTAAAAGATCATAACATGAGGGTGTAGAAAAGTTTTTAGCCGAGACCACTTTCCAAAATCTGACCAAACTAGAATTTCACAAGAATGGATTTCTTGGTTAAGCTGAAAATATTTCAGTACCTCCTCAAATATGGAAATAATATTGAAATATATATAAAAGCTAAAAAAAAAACTTTACATGCAAAAAGGTGAAAAATCCAAATACTTGTCTGTAGTGGTAATTTATTTTGTATAAAATTTACGTATCCACAATTTTGTATTTTCAATAAATCAGTATTAAGTAATACCTCTTATTCCAAATAAATCATGTGTGACAGGCTTTGACCAAGGGTCATGCACTTATTTTTGCAATTGTATAAATTTTCATTTGTTCTTAGCCTACAAAAAAGAATGTGTATTGTTCTCAACACTACAAGAAATCAAAGTGCAAACAATAATGATATGTCCGAGGCTACAGAGTGCAAATTTTATTTGTTGAATTGCTTTCAAGATAGGAATTTTTAGGACAATATTAAATATTTACTCAGCTTAGCCTAGTCTGGCAGAAGGCCACATGTAGGGGACCCTCAGTGAAGATTGAAATCACAATACAGACTTGTTAATTATTACTCTACACCAAGTTGGCCATTTTAGATCCAAATAAATAAGTCTATTGGTTTGAAACAGATCTGCATCTACATTAATAAATTCATAGCCTAATGATAAAAAAAACGTTTATTTTAAACAACAAAAATATTCAAATGTTTATTTTCAAACATGATTTCCTTTTTTTGTCAATACACTTAACACAATGTTTCTCCTTAGATCACATTGAGAAAAAATTTCATCTGATAACTGTCAGGCTATGGATTTATTGATCCACCTTATGAATCTGATTTCCTGAAAAAGTGTTTTAATAAAAGATTTTATAAATTGCAAATGAAGGTCCAGTCAGTGTTTTACAATTATCATTACTTGGATAGAAACACACAAATACAAAGTATGTAGATATATAGATATGAAGAGATAGATAGAGGATATAAACAGGCTGAGATAGAGGATATGAACAGAGATAGATAAATGGATATGAACAGAAATAGATAGAGAGAGATAGAGGATATGAAAAAACTGAGATGGAGATGAACAGACTTAGATAGATACATAGATAGATGGTTGGATATGAACAGACCGAGATAGATAGACAGATAGATATGAACAGACCGAGATAGATAGACAGATAGATATGAACAGACTGAGGTAGATATGAATGAATGAATGAACCTCTGCAAAAATAAAAAGACATAAAAATCTATAAACCTGCATTGAAGTCAAGTTGTATATTTTTCCAATGATTTCTCAATTTTCTTTTAAAATCCCATGTCCCTTCAGTACATAGGCAATCATGGCTCTCCACAGGTTCCTTTTCTTTATTATCTATGATTTACAATTGCTTCTTGGGAAAGATAGTTGATAGATAGTTTTCCTGTTACCTACTCCATGGTTTTGATTTCAGAGTTGCCCTTCTCTTAATATAAATATTTTTCATACCTTTGACAATCATGGTCCTCCTCAGTTTCCTTTTCTTTATTATTTGTGAATTGCCATAACTTGTTTGGGAAAAAATAATGAAGTGGTTTCCCATTGCTGTCTTGAATTCAGAGTTTTCCTTTTTTTCAACTGGACTAAAGATCCCAATGTACTCTGCTATTTCATGCACAACTGGTTTGGGGAGAATAGATAGCATCATACATTTCCCAATGGCATTAGTATGAAGGGAATATCACAGACTTACTGATGCTGCTGTCTGCAGCCATAATTGTTACACTACACACACATTCTAAGTTGTTGATATCATAAATGATAAATTTTTTTTGTAATTAGTTTTTTTTTTTGTTTTTTTTTTTTTCAAATTAACTTTTCACATGGGAACAAATTCAATTTAAAATGAGAAAAGTTCATATATTTTTCACTTTAATAATGTGGCAACCATCTTACTTTTTTTTATCTGTTCTTTTTCATTTAAATAAGCTCATTATCAAATTTTTGTCTTTCTTATAAAACTATATAATTTGCAAAAAAAATAAAAAAATTCTATTATAAAATCAGTCAAAATATATAAAATTTAAAGAAAGATGATTTGGTAGATTTATTTTAAAATCTAGAGACAAAAACTTTCAGATACACATTATTTACATTGGACATAATATTATTGTTATAACATTTCATCCCGTCTATCCAGTGGCTTTCTTCCGGTGTTTGTCAATTTGGATAAACTCCTGGAATTTTCAAGCAGAACTCTTTATTTAATCTATTGATTCTTTTTACACTGATTTTAAAAGATGCAATATCCCTAGACATGGACAGCAAAACAAGAGCAATCTAATCCCATAGATTAAATAAAGGGTTCAGTTCAAAATTCCCTGAAAGTTACTTTGATTAGAAGACATCCAAAGCATTGTGATAATAACAACAAATATGAGGACATTGGTCCAAATGTAAATAATGATAATGTTTCTTATTCAGGCTTTTTTTGATATCATCTATAATTCTACAATTTTCTTTTTTTTACACTAATAGAAGAATGTAATGGCTGAAACCAAGGCCAGTGCATGCTACCCCTGAACCCCACAATCAGTGGGGTGCAAGCTTGATTGGGGGTTCTAGGCAGTGCTTTGTGACCCTCGCTATCTTATCAACATTTACTTTTTTTTACCAACATTTATATATGCTACAAATTAAACTAAGCACAACTGACTATTAAAGGATGAAAAATTGCAGATTTTGACGTCCTTTCTGGGCTTTTTTTTTTTTTTTTTTTTTTTTGGCCAAATCTATTAATTTTTTTTTGCTCATGCTAAGTCTCGAGAAAACACTATTTAAAATTCACTATTTGTCATCCATAATGTTGAATGTGTTAAATTATTCAACGTTTTAATAAGAGAAATCTAGAGCTGATGTTAAAAATTGCCACAAAACATTGATTTATATAAGATGGAATAATCTATTATGACTCTATTTTGCATTTAGATACATTGTATTTATTTTTGAGTTTTCTAGCTGAATTGTTCACCTATATTACATATGATCCTGTATTGTATATAATTAGGTTACAATAGAATTTGTATTTTATATGAATACTAACTTATGACAATTGAGATGTAGGAGAGTGGGGAGGACCATATCATAGATTTGGTGAGGACACTAGACCCTAACACTGACCATGCTTATTATGCAAAAAACCATCCTGAAAAAAATATTTAGCAATATTGGACCTTTGTGCCTTCAAAAAATGAAGCATCAAAATGATGGTTTTTTCCCTTGACATTACTATTACTTTAACTACCTTCACTCCTTAGCAATGTTTTTTTTGTTTTAAAAAGCAGTGATTAGAAGTGTAATGAAACCTAAAAGTCAATTTATAATTTTTTTTAGTTCTTGAGAATTTACAACAAAAATAATTAAACACATTTTACTTGAACAGTAACTAATGTCCTACTTACCATAAGTTGGATTATAAACCATCAGTTGGCTCAGTTTTTTTAAGAAAATAGAAATTGGTTTAAGCAGATGAGCATGCTTGAAAAGATGTAACCATGTTGAAAATGAGAAATCACACTGATTTACAATGTGTCTTCAAATCAAAATAGCTGCAATGATTATTTCAAGATACAACATAGATAATTTGCAAGTATATATAGCCTAATAGTGTCTGTTATTATTACAATACACTATTATTCATGATTATAAAACTAATATTATATAAAATTTTAATACTTTTCTATTTTTAAAAAAATCACGTTTTGAACATAATTTAACAGGAGGTAAAATTTTTGAAAATTCCAGATTTAAAAAAAAAATCTTTTAAAGTAATCCAGAAAGATTTTTGTTGAAAAATTTTGGGTTAATCAGATTTTAAGCAACTACTTTGAAAATGATTCCAATTTAAAGCGATTTCCAGCTGCTATATTGGTTTAGCTCTGATCGATCTCATGTTCTCTGCTTACTAAAACTTTCTGCTTCTTTTTTTGATTCTTGTCAGTGCTCCATGTGGGTGAGCATGGATATTATGAGGGGAGGCGAGAGACTGGAGAAGAAGGCTGGTTCCCTTGCTCTACTGTGGAGGAAATTAACTTGAACAGTCGCAGAAGACGAGGTAAGCTAACAAGAATTTCTTATCTTTTTTTCTCTCTCTGTTTTGAAATATTCATTGCATATTAATAAAGGTCACAAGTAAAGAGTTTGTTCAGTGCAATAAAATGAAAATACAGAATAAAAAATAATGAAATCACTTTGGGATAAGCTGGCTCTTTGATAACAATAACAGAATGATAACATTAAGTAACAGATATAAAAAGAAACAATAACTTGCATTCATTTTTATAAAAAATTTTTACATAATATAAAAATATCTTGAAATTTGATTATAATAAGCAAATGATTTCTAATTAATTTCAAATAAAATGTTTAGGACTAACTGATTTTGATAACAATAACCACACAATATCTGGTGATCATAATAAATAACTTCCTCTGTACTAAAAAGGACTTTAAAAAAGAAAAGTATTAAACATTTCTTTGTGTTCTGTACAATTTTCTATATTTTCATTTTTTCTAAATTTAGTCGTTTATTCAATTTATTCCTATTTTATTCCATTTTTTGAATTTGCTTGAAATAGAAGAAAACTATTCAATTCTTTCTTTATGAGCTTCATTTAAGAAAACTTATGTGAATTGTAAAAATTAATCAGTGGCCTCTAATGTCTTTTACAGCTTATCAATAATTTTGATGAAAAGAATCTCAATATATAAAAAGTGAATATGTATTCATTTGGTGTGTTACACTTTTCACACAGGGAACAGATACTACACTGATCCAAAGTACTGACACTTTAATCCTATGCAGAAGGTCTGAGCTATCTGTAAATGACCCTGTCATGTTTTACAAGTTCTCTGTTAGTATTATATTATATTAACAGTAATATTAATTAATGAACAAGAATTATCTGGTAATGAAAACTATTTTGATAATGAAAAAAATTTATCCCGAAATTTCATTCTATTAATGAAAATCACAAAATGATTATTTTTGATAAACTGACATCTTGAAAGATTCTCCCAAAATATAGTAGAAATTTAACTATCCAAAATTCTGCCTAGCTTTATTTGCTTATTATATAAAAAAAATAATGTAGTTAATTGGGTACTAAACAATTTGTTTCTAATATATTTTCTCAGTGCTTTGGTCATACATGCAACATTTATTTATTTTTTTACATTATCACTTTTTCCTCACCGATTATCTGCCCTTTGTTTTATTCCCTTAGGCATGTTGAAAGGATTAATGGTTTATTCACCTTTTAGAGTATTAATACTGTAATGAGTTTTACCAATTCCATATTTGATACATGGGGTTGGTTGTTCTCTGTTTTATTGTTAGAAGTAATTTTCTTTGAGTGCCCCATGCTTGTGGCCTTGTGCCTTACTAAGAATAAATTAAACTTACTAAATATCTACCATTATATTTACTTATTTGTTTGATTTTTGGCAACTTTTATCCTCCCCAATCGTTATAGTTACAAATCTTGGCAAAGTGACTTTTCTTAATGCACGCACAAACATACATAATGCAATTGAACATACACATATACACAACAACACAACATAATACACTTGCCAATACAAAATACACATACTAAACAATACAACATGCTCATATACACAACAGCACAATACAACACATACATACAGCTACTATTTTCTCCCATGTATGTCTTGTTATTAAACTTTCAATATGGATGAGTGCCAAATTTTCTTAGTATCTTAGCAATTTTGCACAATAAAAACATAGATTACTTTAAAGGGAAAGGTTTTCATCATTTTCTCTTTGTTTGCTTATCTTTATCTATACTTACAGTTGTATTTCCAAGGTTACAAACTTTTATTATTTACTGTTAGATCCTTAAGTTGCATTACTTCATGCGAAATCAATTATTTGTTCTCCTGAGACTAAGAAAAGTCTAATTCTAAACGTGAAGGTCATTCTTCCAAGTGGTCCGCCTTGGATCTGTTACACTTCAAATAGCTTTACAAGAGTAATTTATTTTAATTTTGAATACATTATTAATGGAAATGGTTTGCAGCTGTATGTCTGACATAATGATACTTCCTTCTTTTCTTTCTTTTTTTTTTTTTTTTTTTTTTTTAAAATGACGTACAAAGAATCAAATCAAAATTTGCAAAGTTTTCAAAAAATCTCAATGCATATTTTTATACATGGATTTACACACTCACCTTCTCTTTCTTTCCTTCACCCTCTCTTCCTTTCCTTCACCCTCTCTTTCTCTTCTTCACCCTCTCTTTCTCTTCTTCACCCTCTTTTTCTCTTCTTCACCCTCTCTTTCTCTTCTTCACCCTCTCTTTCTCTCCTTACTCTCACTTTTGTCTCATTTCTAGTTTTCCTCCTCTCTTTGTTTAGTTACAATGAATGGAGTTGTTTTTTGCAAACCTTCATCTGCTGTTGTTCAGCAGAATCAGTGTTACTCATTTTTTTTATTATTTTATGATTTTGCCAAGTTAAAGACATAAATCATCATTGAAAGTAGTTTTCATAATTTATAGAGATGTTTTCTTACAATATTATCTATATGCAATGATATTCAGAAAAACTTAAAACGATTACTTGGTTACTTATTTCAATGCATTATTTTACTTACAATTATTGCCATATGACACAAACAATAGATGGGGCATTATTTATACAAATTAGCTGTAAATAACTAACAGTAACTTTTTATTCCCATTTATCACTTATATTATTGCCAAGTAAGGCTGTTTTTAAATTTGCATGATTTGCAAAGTAATCATGTAAAACAAGTGATGCTTAATTTGTTGGATTATTTATGATGTATGCATCTATGTATATATATGGTAGACTCTCCCGCCATATTCGACATATGAGAGTCAAGCAGTTCAGTTCCTAAGAAACCGACAACCCAGACACCAACATATATGATTTGATTATAGTGGTGAAGGTTTCGTGCAGGACCATCCACACTTTTTGAAGGGCTGAATACAGAGACCTGGTGCACTATGTGTCACAAGGTCCCCAAACGACCCTCCGCAGGTTTTGAATTCAGAGTTGTCCTTCTCCTATACCAGTTGCCATCCAAGGCTATAGAACCCAGTCTGTCCTGCTATTTAGCCATAGCTGGAGGGAGAAGAAGAGGATTAATACCTTTCCCAAGGGTATTAGTACGTCAGTGAATGTAATGGATTCGACTGGAATTCAAACTTGGTTCTTTGTTTCCTCAATCCAAGCCGCTATCCACTACTCCACTGTGTACATATATATATATATATATATATATATATATATATAGTCATCCACAGACAGACTGTTTCACTGTATCACAGCTCATCAGTGTGGTTAGACGTCTGGTTGCCTCTAGCTATGATCAAAACCTGACTGAATTGGCGTCAGTCGGGTATTCTACCACTAAACATGGGCGCACGGCAGGGATGAAGGTGAATTTAAGCATATTTATTTTTTTAGATAAACACACAGTGACTGAGAGAACTCGATTCAATTTACCAAAGAGTTTTGCATTAATAGCTATAATAGTCACTGTTTACACACCCACACTTCCTCCCCAAAGAGCTCAACTGAAATATGTATTGTGATCCACAGACAGACTGTTTTGCTGTATCACAGCTCATCAGTGTGGCTAGACATTATATATATATATATATATATATATATATATATATATATATATATAATACACTATGGCCAAAAGTTTGAGGAGCTCTCTGGGTTTAACAATTAGTAAGTTTCATACACTTGATTTAATTAACTGCTATTAAGTTAGGATGCTAGAACTATTTTATCCTATTGTGCATGTCATCCAAATTTTTAAGGGTTGGGAGTTACTTAAAAGTAATGGGTTGATTTCATTATACAGACACACACACTATAAGCAAAAAGCTTGGGGTTACCTTTTGGATTTGATAATTAGTAAATTTTATGCCATTTTTGATTTAATTAACACCTACTCATCTAGAATGCTGAAACTATTTTAATCCATTAGTGCATAGTGTCCAATGTTTTAGAGAGGGGTTAACCTAAAATTTAATGTCCAAAATCCTTAAGTTTACCATTAGCCAGAAAGAAGAGCTAAAATTTTAAAGAAACTTTATGCAGTGACTGGTTTATTTTGTTATCATCGTCATCATTACTGAATATATGATAAAATCTTTCAGCAAGAGAAAGTGTCTCTAGCCTGAAGTGAGCCAGTAAATTAGTTTTTCATTGAAAGAAAGCATGCAACTTTCAATTTCTAGATGATACTTCAAAATCCACAGGATGGCCCAAAACCTTTTGGTCTATATATATATATATATATATATATTGTCAAAACTGAAAATAGTTAAAAAAAATAAATAAATAAAGATGAAAAGTATGTTATTTTTCATTTTATTTTTTCTAATTTGTCACCTGCTGTGTCTCTTCCCTGATGGCATGATTAAATTTCAAATGTAAAATGTTTGTCTATTTAAAATACTAAATTTATGAGAAAATATATTCAGTTTAAATACAAAAAAAATCATAAAAATGACTTTAATTGGTTGGCTTGTATACTTTTCCCATCACCCAGTGGTTGTTACCTAACAGAATAGGACATTAGCACTTGTGGCACAGATGTCCATGTCAATTTTATTCAAATTGTATTTGAGAATATGTATATCTTAATTTAATGACAGACCTAAAAATATTTCTAGAATATTTTTTTTAAAAAGCTTTAAAAAATAATTCTATATATTACTGAATGATTTTCAAAAACTTCCAGAAAATCTTATAATTATTTAATTTTTTAGGGTTTAAAATTTTTTTTCTTGTCTCTAACTTTATGATTTTATTGCTCAGCCCAGGGTAGGTGTTTTTCAGATCAAGTGAGAGGGAAATGTATTATTCCAGTGCTTTATTTCAAACTCGGTTAAATTGCATGTATGGCACTAGGACATGTAAGTCACTCACACATAAAACAGCTATATACACTTATACATATACACATTTAAAGTCATAGACAAATATTTGATGGACAGATAATCAGTTCTTCTGTTATAAATTTTAATTTTTTTTTTTTCAGGTGAAGCATTATCAGTTGTTATTATTAAATTTGACTTGTGTTCAATTTTTAATTGCTTCTTATCACAATTTTACTAAGACCGTCAATCTACAGCAGTGAATATACAGTACTGATCATAGATTGGGACGCTGGATAAAGTTGGGGTGGAAGATATCTAAAAATTGAGATGAAAGTAAACACAAATTAAAAATTTCTAATGATCTCAAAAGATATTTATTATCAAAATTTTATTTAATTTTTCTTACATTTATTATTAAGTACTTTGTGCTAATCAATTTTATTAAAAATAAATTAATAATGACTACTTGGTAATACTAATTTTTGTTTCCTCAGAGTCCACCATTTAAAATTATCTCATTATATCATTGCTTGACAATTGTCATGAGTAAAATACAAGTTTTGTAGGATGGTTCATTGCAGAGCAGTTGTTAGTAAGTTTGTCTTGGTGACCATTCATTATAAAGGGAGGCCAATCTACACTGGACATTCAACACGTATTGATTTGTAAATATCAATACAATTTGCTGATGTGCTTTATTTATTTAAAAGTACATTCAAGAAGAAAAACTTCTAACACTTTAATTTCTTAATAAAATCCAAAAATGAATCTACAATGTTATCGGTTCTGATCTGGTATCTCAGCTTGTGTCACATTCCCACCACTTTAATGTAGCTTCCCTCTGCCTTTTTTATAAAGATTTTTATGGTAACTGTCCTGATGAGCTTTTCTCTTTGTTACCTTGACTTTATGAATTTAAATGCAGTACTAGATTGCCAGTTAGGTTTGATTATTTTACAATTAAAAGTGCTAGATATGACCATGAGTTCTATGCTAACAGTTTTTTTTTTCTCACACTTCTTGCTTGTGGACTCTTTCACCTTCTTGCTTTCCAGTCAACTTTGACCTTTAAAAAGTTAAATGTGATGTTAGTTGTTACCTTGTCTTAATTCCTTTTCATTTATTTTTCTCTCTCCTTAATAATGTTTTTGTTTTTCTCATATTCTTTCACATTCAGCAATTCTATGCGTCTTAGTAGATTTATTGCCTTGATTGGGGTGAAATGATTAAAAATAAAAAAAAAAAAACATTTATTTATTTTATGACAAAATTTATTTGTGGCTTTAGTGTCCTGATTTTCACTGAATGTCATATTCATATTCCTTAATATTTGTCATAAAATATATTTTCCCATTCTTAAGATCGTCTTTCCTGTAAATCTAAAAGTTATTTCATTATTTACTACCTGGGGTTCTTACATTCAAATTTGAACCTTAGATTCTATCATTACATTTTTTTTATACTAATGTTCACTCAATACAAAGTTGAAGAGCCACTCAAGGTAGAAGGTTATTGTGTGGGGTTCTATGAGCATAACAAAAGTTCAAGAAGTTGAGTTCATAAGGTTATGTAGGAAAGATAATGGCTAAATCTAGACTTGAAGAGATCAAGATTATACTGATTGAGAAAACATCCTGCCAGGAATCTGTTCCATAAAGCAGAAGTTCTTAGAAAGAATCTGTCCAAGTGGAACTCACTTCTTACTAATGGAATCCAAATGAAATGAGGATGATTCACACTTGTGTATGTGGCATAGCAGGGTCTCAGTTGGAAAGATCAGGGTTGGTAAAACCAACGAATGCAACTCATCAGAATACATACTATGAAAATAGTGATAGAGTAGCAAGAGGTTCACAAAGTTTCATCTATGGGAAAAGAATTGTAGAGTAGAAAAAAATTCATCACCCACAAGTCTGCATCGATGCTTTTGAACTCTATCAACAGGTAAATGAGGAATGGGCAATTCCAGCCCAGATATGGCAGCCAGGCTTTGATCTGGCTCTTGAAAAAATAGAGTATAGCAGGGAAGTCAGATACTTACAATGAAGCAACCATTTCTCCAGCATATTCATCAATAGATTGTATAAATGAGTTTCACTTTAGTTTGAGTCCCAACAGCTGTTCAAAGCAAAGAACCTCCTTAAGAGAATACTCATCAGTCTAATAGTTTGCACTATTGAGACTTAGGGAAATTCCATTGGAAATTGTTGCATTTTAGGAATTCAACACAGGGTAAGAGATAAGAGAGAAAAAAGAAATTTTCATTTACACTTTTAAATTGTTTAATCTGTTCATAAATGATGAAAAAACAAATTTAATAAAATAGCCTAGTGGATGAAAACATTGGTTTTGGGGATTTAGTGACATAGTAGTTGTGGGTTCAATCCCCGGGCCAAGCAGTATATACTTGGACAATGAAAACAATAATTGAACAGTACTAAAATAAAACTATACATGATATCCCTAGATACAGCCAGTGGAAACAATCTACTCTCATAGATTAAATAAAGGATTCAGTTCGAAAATCTCTGGTAGTTAACCAGATCAACAATGATGAAGGTCTGATAATAGCTGAAACATTGTGTTAATAATACCAAAGATGAGGACAATAGTCTAAAAGTGTAAATAATGTACATAACATACTCCTTGACAAAAAAAGTTCCACTTCTCTTGCTTTGTTCATTCTCTAATGTTTAATTTTATTCTTTTAATTTTTGCATATTGCAAAAAGGTGTCTGCAGCTAAATACTGGTTATTATAAGGATATTCTAATTCAGAGGTCAGCAACTTATGAAATTTGTGCCAGGCCAAGCAATTTCCAATGGCACACAGCCAAAAATGACATCACAAAGTATGAACCAATAACTACAGTGGTAGAAATAAATATAAGACACCCAAGGAAATTGTTAAAAACTTTCTTATTACTACACAAATTCCTCTGAAAATTTGTGTGTGGTACCTAGATCCAATGGGTATTAGTATACATATCTGATTTTATAACAACTTTCCATCAAAAAAAGTTATTAAGAAAGTAAATTTTCGAGGGTGAAAATAAGCATAAGACAGTTTTGAAAATTTGTATTTAACAGCAAAATTGTACAAAATTCAATATTTATATCTATTCCTTTTCAATTGTAATACTTCAACAAACCTATTTTGCATTGAATCAATAAGTTTTCTGAGAGTTTCAGATGGAATTTCATTCCAATATTGTTTAATGCAAGATTTTAAAGTTTCTCTATCTTCAAGTTGATGTTTATTTTTGTATACTCTTCTTGACAAAATTCCCCACAAACTTTCTACTGTGTTTAAATCTGTAGACTTAGTGGGCCAGTCCAAAACTTCAATATTTTTTGTATTAAACCAGTCTTTTGTGAGTTTAGAAGTGTGTATGGCTGTGTTGTCCTGTTGAAAAATGACATTATTGGTGTCTAGACAATTCATAAATGAGACAAGACTTTTTTCCAATGCATTGATATATCGAGCAGAGTTTTGTTTCCTTTCCATCATGACTAAATCAGCCTTTCCAGACACAGAAAAAGCTCCCCAAACCATAACAGATCCTTCTCCAAATGGTCTTTTTGAAAACAACTGCTTCTCCTTTCTTAAATCATGCCAATAACACTAGTAGCTGTCGGACCCATCCAAATTAAAATTTTTCTCATCAGAAAACACCACGGTTTCCCATTTCTCCTTTGTCCATATTACTTTTTTCTTTACCCAATCTACGCACATGTGTTTAGCAGTTAAAGCAGGGTCTGTCTTCCTGATTCGATACATGAGATTTGTCGATTCATGGAGAAGCTGACAAACTCTTCTTGGAGTGATGGGTAAATTCTGAGATTTTTGCAGATCTTGATTGTCCTTTAGAAGCTTCTCGAAAAAGTTGACATCTGGCTGCATTTGTAATTTTAGGTGGATGACCTGGAAATTTCTGGTGCCATACGATTCAGGGTCCTTTAGATAATTTCTCACAACTGTTCGGGACCTTGACAGTTCTCTTGTAATGAAACTTATAGATTTTCCTTTCAGTTTATAGGCAGAAATTTGCCCTTTTTCATTTTTCATTAAGGGGGGGGGGTCCTAGGCATTTTGCAGCGATTCTATTCAATTATGAAATGTTTAAATAGGACTCACGTGGCTTAAAATCATGTCTTTTTATAATCTGCGCATGCACTTAATCTTTTGGTATTCTAAAGTAAACCAGATATGCAAATTTTCAAAACTGTCTTATAATTATTTCCACCCTCGAAAATGAAGTTTTGTTAATAACTTTTTTTTGTTGGATAGTTGTTATAAAATCGAATATGCATACTAATACCCATCAGATCTAGGTACCACACACAAATTTTCAGATGAATTTGTGCAGTAATAAGAAAATTATTAACAATTTCATGGGGTGTCTTATACTTATTTCTACCACTGTACTGCAATGCAAAGAAGAGATTTAGCTGTTTCAATTTCAATATATACTAAAGTATATATACTATATATTACTATATAAAATATATTGTAGAACAGGTATATTGACCTTGAGGGGGAAAGAGAATCCATCACATCCTCACAAGAAGAAGATTAAATGTTTGAAGAAAAACCTGAAACCATTGTTTTTGTTGACATTAATTTGATAGAATCCAGAAGTGAATAAACAATTATTTTCTGCATGAAGAATTTAGTCTCACGTTACTAAGAAGATTAAACTAAGTTTTTATCTGCAGTAAACTTGACTTTTTCTTTGACCCATATTTTTTCACCAATCATGAATAATCAAATATCCTTGTCTATCATTTTATTGGTAACTAATTCATTTGACTTTTATTTTTTCTTTCTCTGTAGCATGTTCAGTAGGAGATCTTGATTCAGACACAGAATATTTCCAGCGTCAGACAATAAAACAGCACACGTCACTTAACCATATGGAGAGGAGCTTCGTCAGGTAAGTCAAAATAATTTAATCACACATACTTGAGTTAAGTTTTGATTTTTTAATGAGCTTATTATGAGAACACATTTTTCTTTCTTAAGATTTCTTGAGTGCACAGGACAATAGGCTAATAAACACTGTTTAAAATAAAAATGAGAATTCTATTTCAAATCTGAGTATCCTTTATAATAACATTTGAATTAATAAAAGTAGTATATGTATGCAGGTTTAGTTGAAGACCAATGAAAGTTTTTTTAAGATTTTTTTTATTTGCTTTTCATTTTAGTTTGAATTATTTTTTTTGGTTTCTCCCTACAAGCCAGAAGCTAGTTATTGCATGTTTCCCTGTCGTAGCATATGCTAAGCACCCATCAACAAGATCAGGAAGTTCTTAATGACTATATTCTTGACTATGGTTGACTTACGATTATGTTGATATATTAGTTTTATTCGAAGGATAACTTAACCAGAAAATTGATCCATAAAGGGAAAATTAAATACTCAAAATATATAAAGTATGTCTTGTGTAATCCTCTCTCTTCTGATTGGAGTATATATCCATAATCATATCTCTCCATTGAAAGCAGTCTAGTATAATGACCAGTATTTTATTTGATGAGAAGCATATCTCATTAAGTTGCCATTATTAGTGGTTTTTAGCCAACCTTTCTATTTTTTCCTATTTGGTGTCCATCGTTAGGTATTTTTGATTGGTTATTGTCAGAACATGACCAAGCCATACCATAAATTACATTTCTATATATCAAGAGACCTTTTCCTTCTTTCTGTCATCCTATATATGATTAGGCCTGCAAATATTCCAACTCTTTCATAGGCAGCCATATTGACATTCAAAAACATGCATTATCTCAATAAATGACCAGGATTTCATCCACTAACATTTAATCTCTTCATGCAAAAGATGTCTTTTTTTTTCTTTAGCTCGTTTGTTTACATTGTTTAAAGATTATCAGGTCTATTTTTACATCCTTTTTCATGATTGCAAGATTTGTTGATATTTCAAATGATTGCTCTGAAAAGTGCCTAAACTTGAAATTGACAATCCCAGTCTCTACCCAGAGATAATATCAGGCTACATTTAGCTTGTTAATTAAATGCAAAGATATTTGCTGATTCTAAGATTTCCATTATCGTTAAAAACCTTCATCAAATATCATGTGACAGTCATAAACACATTATCAACAAATCTGTTGCTTTGTTTCTTTCAATCCATTTACTTCTAAAGTAATAATCCAATCACACTGAGACATCTAAACCTGGTGAGGAAACTTCCAATGACATGTCAACTGCTTATCATGAGTAATTTTTTTTTCTTAATAAATTTAGTAAGACTCATTTCTATGTTTTCATTATATTAATTATTACAAATTTAAAATGTAGATGATGAAATTATAATAATGTTATCATATATTATAATAATATCTTTATTTACACTATTTACATTTGGATTATTGTCCTCATCTTTGTTGTTGTTATCACATTTTGGCCATTGTACCCTCTGGATTTCATCAAGCGTATATCAATGTAGGTAACCTAAAGAGAATTCTGAACAGAACCCTTTATTTAATCTATGAGGGTAGACTGTTCTCATTCCACTGCCCATATCTAGGAATATCTCATCTAGTTTTTTTTAGTTTTTTTTTTAACTTTGTATTTGAGTAAAAAGTCGAGGAAGTACTAAAAAGGTAACAACTTGAAATTTTGTTTTGTTCACTTGCTACATTTTGGAAATCACTTAGTAAAAGAAAGGGGAAGTGGAAAAATCAGGCATGGCTGACCACATATGGAGAGAAAAGGGAGATCACCACCCTTTGTGGGATCAGGTTGAGATCATAGACAAAGAACATCATTGGAAAATTTGTAAACTTAAAGAATCAGCACATATGCTAGGCCACAAAAATCTCCTGAGTCAACCAAGCATAGAAATGAATACATTATGGGAGCCAGTAATAAGGAGTGCCAGAGAAAAGTGATAATAACAACAAAAATTACAATATGAGCTCTGGTAAAAAATGGTTGCTGAAGACATTAGGTTTATAATACCCAGAAATTCATAACCAGATGTCCTTAAGGACACATGGCACAATGGATAAAGGCATTGGTTAGATCCAGTGATAGGACCCAAAGAGTGTGAGTTTAATACCCGGTTAAGGCAGTGGAGAACTTGGAGAGGGGAATAAACAGGAGATAACTAATAACTGACATCCATTAGACATGGCATATGGAACTAGAACAGTTTACCCTAGTGAGCGAAATAAAGGGTTCAGTTCAACATTCCAACCACCTGAAGAAGGCCAGAACATATAATGGCTGAAACGTTGTAATAAATATGGCAACAAAGATGAGGACAATAGTCCGAATAATGTAAATAGTGTACATAATATCTCATCTCAGAAATATAGACAGATACTAAAAGAAAAGAGTTTACCAATCAGAACAAAAAACATACAGGTGCCAGATGGAATTTATTTGGTAAATGTTTCCTGCTTATATGTGAATAGATTTTGGCTCAGTTTAGAAACCGGAGTTTTATTTTAGATATATCAAAATTCATCTGTCTATATTTCTGAGATGAGGTATTATAAATATTTACACTGTTCAGACTGTTGTCCCCATTCTTATTACCATAATGGATAAAAGCATTGGTTGAAGTAATCCAGTGAACCAAAGAGTTATGAGTTCAATACCTGGCCACAGCAGAGGTGAAGAAAAACTTAGAGAGTTAAGGGAAATAACTGAAATTGAGATATCCAGAAAAGGCATGGCACGTGGAACTAGAATCATCTATCCCAGTGGATGAAATAAAGGGTTCACTTTGAAATTCCAAAATATATCACCTGAAGAAGGCTAGAGCGTGCAACAGCCGAAACATTGTGAATATGGCAATAAAAACGAGAACAACAGTCCGAACAAATAGTGTAAATATATCAAAATTCATTTAAGAAAAGGAAATTCCTGATTTTAAGCAAGTATAAAAATATTCTCATTTAACAGTTCATGGGTTAATTGCTGTAATTAACATTTTTATATAAACCAAGGTGAATAGTAATTAATGTCTTTATCAAATGAGCTATGTTTTTTTTTTCCCTCTGACATGATTGTTGAGCATATTTATAGAAATTGAAAATCAGTATTGTATAATTACATCAGCAGATTGACTTCAGCAAAAAGTCACTTGCAAAATTTGTAATATCAATTTATATATACAGTTCAAATATAGCTTTTTTTCCTCATGAAACCAATGAACTCAAGGTTTATGTGATGGCAATTTTGCTGCTGAAAGAACATCAAAAAGAATGAATATTTATATATATATGTATATATATATATATATATAATCCTTTTCTGAACTGCATTGATTAATATCTGGAGATATGTATTTATTTATGTGAAACAAATCGACATTTATAACCAGCAACGTACATCTTTATATGTAAGTGTATGTAAATATACCTTTGTATACATATTCATACATGTGTGTATTTGCAGCTAATTCAGTTAATGGTTTATAAATTTGATCTTGTACATGATTTATCCCTGTCTTTAGTTTACGTGTGTGTGTTGGACAGCAACAGAAAGAAGGTTTAACTTGATCTGGCACAAAAGCCAAATTGGGAGGGTAACTGGAGATACACATAGACTCACATTTTATATATATATATATATATATATATATATATATATATATAAATAAATCAGAAAGAAAAAGAGATGTTAGTATCAATCTAAAAGTGATAGAATTAAGTTCATGTATTTTGTGAGATAAGTTTATAACAATGTATCTAATTATGATTTTTTTCATTAACCATTTTTTAATCTTGTGTTCATCTCAAAAATTGGATTGCTAACAACTTTTATCATAAACAAGTTTTCATAATATTAAGCTTTTGGCCACATCATGTTGTAACACTGGTTACTGTACAACCACCAAACTTAAGCAACATCAGTACCTAGATTAATAATGGCTCAGAATTGTTAATCGGAGAGTTGAGTTCCAATTCCTGCTTGGGTGGTCATATTCACTTATGCACAAATACCCTTGTAAAAAAATATGAAACCAACTCTTCTCCCTCCCCAGCTATAGGTTAATTAGTAAGACATGTATCACTAAATCATTATTATCCCCCCGCCCAATTCTTACAACCTAAAATATTTTCTGGCTTTAAATAACCTATGAAGGATTGATAAGCTATAGAAAACAGATCAATAAATCAATTTGAGCTGGCAACTAAAATATGTCTTTATATCTTTACTCAGAAAAAAAAATCTGGAGAAGAAAGTATGGAATAGCTTTTCATACATGTCTACATATTAAGTAATCCAAATTTCTTCAGTGAAACATTGTCATTAATTACTTTTTGTCTTAATTTCAGTTACTTTTGATCACAACTCTCAATTGTTTACATTTATTTACTGTTAAGTATTCATCATCATCAGTCCTATGAGCAGCTGTGATTGTAAGGTCACAATGTAGCTGAGCACTAAACCAGTTCCCTCCACATAACTGAATTGAAAGTCAGAGAGGCATTCATTCATGTGTAGCATGCCTTAGGCAAGTAGACCTGGCAGAGCCCATCCCTCTCCAGGTCAAACCACAGCCAATGTCCTCCAACTTGAAAGCTAGCCTTGGTCATTTCCATCAGGGGAAACCTCTGCCCTGGCCATTGGGTTCAGTCTAAGAGACTAGCCTTCCACCAATGTTGTGTCATCACTACACTGGCTGCTGACATAGCTATGGAGCCTAGTCCACACCATTATACTTGCTGGCCATTGACCCTACAAAAAGGTTCACCTGCTCTTTGAAAGGTCTTGTTTTTAATCTTGCTTGGTATCTAACATCCCTCCTCACCAAAAAAACCTGGTGGGGGAACTAGTTTAATCATTGATGACCAAACCATGCAACATGTAGTATTAGGTTATATGATACCAGTAGCACTTGTAAAGTAACAAGACATAAAAGGAAACATCATGAGTCATAGATAATAAAGATT